CCACGCGGTTGTTGTCATAACCACCATTTACGACACATTACCACAATCTCGAGTCGCCTCCGCTCACTACCTTGTCCTTTTTTTTTTGTCGACCCGGAATCAATCCACGCTGCCGTTCAGGTCCTTGTTATAGATCTCGCGACGATACCCGACTCTTCCGACCTGTCTCTTTTCTTCCAACCTCACTTCACAGACCAGGGTGCGCGCCTGTCGGATTGAAAATCAGACACTACCGGTTGCGCCCGAGGACCACCAGACTCGGGGGGAAAAAAACGCCAACACTCAACTCTCTCCCCCCCCCTCCCCCACACACCCTCCTCTACTGTTGAGAGGCAAGCTCTACTGCTATAGTGCTGCTCTCTACGGGCGCCGAATTTCAGACCGGCAACACCCTCCGCACGACTGCCGCGCGACTTCCAACACTTCTCTCCGTCTTGAGCGGTTTCCCAGTCTCGTCACGCGCGCGCACGCGCTTGCTCAACCTCGAGTATGGGTCGAAGGAAGATCGAGATCAAGGCCATCAAGGATGACCGCAATCGCTCAGTGTATGCTTCCCTCCCACCGCCGTCCTGGCTCCGTCTCCCCCTCGTGCCCGTGACCGCTGACACGCGTGCGCCTCTGCGCCCGTCCCCCTTCTAGGACCTTTCTCAAGCGCAAAGGCGGCCTGTTCAAGAAGGCCCACGAGCTCTCGGTCCTGTGCTCCGTCGACGTAGCCGTCTTCGTCTTCAGCAACAACAAGAAGCTCTACGAATACTCGTCGGCCGACATGCACGAGCTGATGACCAAGTATCAGTTTGTGAGTTCTGAAACGCAGGACCCCCCTTCCCTGCCGCGACGCGAGGCTGACCCATCCCATCCAGCACGGCGGTCCGAGCGAACACAAGGGCCCGTCAGACTTCAACGGCGGCAACGACGACGACGACGACGACGACGCCGATGCCACGCCCCCCCAATCCCTGGGCCCCGACAGCCTCGAGAACCACATGATGCCTCCGCAGTACCACCACCCCCACGCCCGACAGCAGCCGCAGCCTCCACCGCCGCCGCCGCCGCCGCAGCAGCAGCAGCAGCAGCAGCAGCATCTGCCGTACCCTCACGTACGGAATACCCCTTCAGCCTCGCCGCCCGTCCACAGCGGCGCCGTCTTCCCCGGTCACCCCCACCAGCGACAGCGCAGCCACACGCCTCAGGCCTCGGTGGTGATATCCCGCCCGCATTCGCGCAACGACAGCCACCATCACCGTATGGGCCCCGGCATGCCGCCCCAGACCGGCAACATGGGCTACCTGCAGACGCCTCCCATGTATGGCCAGCAGCAGCCCTCCGCGCCCCCCCCTCCGCCGCCGCAGGCTCAGGGGGGCGGCATGATGGGGGGTCCTCAGTACCCCTACCAGGCTTCCTCCCTACAACACCAGCACCAGCACCAGCACCAGCACCAGCACCAGCCCCCGGTATACATGGAGGGCCGCCGGTCGTCGGTGCCGCCGACGTACGCCGCGCAAGCCCCCCCGCCGCAGACTGGATCCATGGCCCGCCCGAAACCTTCCCCGCCCCAGCCCAATCATCAGCACATTCCCCAGATATCCACCACGTCGCCCCCCCAGCCGGACCACGGGCCGGCACACGACCTCCAGCCGCCGCCGCCGCCGCCGCCCGTCAAGAGGGAGTCCAGATACGAGCCCCGTACCCTGCCGCAACCGCCGCTGCTCAACACGGACACGGCCATCAAGAAGCTGCCTCCCCAGCGCAAATCGCACAGCATATTCACCCCCATCGAGGAGAACAGGTCCATACTGTCTCAGCACCTCGAGTCCTTCTCGTCCGATTCGCAGACCAGGACGGACCCGGCAACCATCGTGGCAGCGGCCAACTCGAATCGATCGCAGTCGTTTGACGTGGGGGCAGCCGCGGTGCGGACGTCACCGCCCAACCCACCCGGCGGCGCCGGCCCGGGTGGCAGCGCGGACGTCACCCGTCCGGTATCGGTGCCGTCGGTGCCCGACGCGACGTTCGCGCCGCCTCCGCAGACCGGCAGCCTCAAGTCGGGTGTCGGCTCGGCGGCCGGCGGATCGCGGCCTCGAGGCCCCCGCCTGACGGTGCAGATACCCGACGGCGGGTCCGAAGCGGGTGGCAGCGCCACGGAATCCACCTCGCCCAACAACGCCGCGTCGGCGACCCAGGGGCCCCAACGGCAGAACTCGCACTCGTCCATCGTCCTCCCGCCCCCGTCGCCGTCGGCATCGGCGCTCCTGTCGGCGGGGGCTACAGGACCGCCGAACCCGTTTGCCAAGCCCCCGCCGCAGCAGGGCGTCGCGGCTGACACGCCCGCATCAGCCCTGCCGTCCCGCTTCTTGGGCAACGAGCTCCTCCCCAGCCCGGGCAGCTTCTACAACGACTGGAATTTCCGAGGTTCCGACACGGGCAATACGCTACCCAGCCCCCTGAACTTTGCCACGCCCATAGCCCCGTCCGGTATGGGCTTCCCATCGCGGGATGAAGCTCACCAAGCCGGAAGTAGCGGCAACGCCAGCACTGTTCCGCCTCTGCCGAAGCGCAAGAGTCCCGATCTTCCAGAGTCTGCGGGTCCAGACACGGGGGATTCCAAGCGGCCTAGGATGGATTGACGAATCCACACATCCCTCCCGCCTCGTCCCGCTCCCTCCCCTGGGCTCAGCACGCTCCCCTCCCCCCTCCCCTTTCACGCCTTACTCCTTCCCCATCCCCGAGATACCATTATGTTCTGATTTCACTGCACGGGACGTCTTTTCTTGTCTGTTTCTGTTTCTTCCCTTCTTCTCTTCTTCGTTTCTCTTCTCCTCTCCCCCTTAGAAAGATGAAGAGTGTGGAACTACACGGTCATGTTATCCCCTCTTTTTTGGGCTTTTATCTGTTCTTCTCTGTCCTCATGGGACTAGATGTCACCTATCTTGTCCACAGGTTTGCTTTTGTCGTTGTTGTCGTTGGGATTCCATTGTTACCTTTTTCTCTTCTTCCTTTCAAAAAGTCTTATATCTACCTGTTGAGAGACAATTTGTCGGGATACAATTTGTCGGGATACAATTTGTCGGGATACAATTTGTCGGGATACAATTTGTCGGGATATTTCCCTCGTTGAAGTTTTCTGGGACATTTTTTTCTTCACGGTAGTGTGTTCTTGGTGTACGTATTACATGGGAAGTTTTTTTTTTTTCAATTTTTTCAATTTTTTCATTCTTCATTTTCTTTTTCTCAATATAGCAGGAGTAGTTAGTTTCTTGGTGCAGAGAGTGTTACTACATCGGAAGATTCTCTTCTTTATATGGCAGTGTTCTCAAGTGTACGTATTGCCTGGGAACGTTTTCCTTTTTTTATATGGCAGTGTGACGAGAACAGATCTTGGTGCAAGTACCATCATGTTTATGCCGCATTTTACGCGTCCGACGGTACGAGATTTGATCGAGTACATGTGTAGTGAGTCGTAGCAGAGTCATCGTGTGAACCAGATATGGTCAAAGGGGGTTGGGGGTTGGGGGTTGGGGGTTGGAAGAAAGGTAAGAAGAGATGGTGTTGACAGAAGTCAAGACGCCACGTCAGAAGTTACACAGAAGTCAAGACACCCTTGAGAAGCCACATCTCCCCATTCCCAACCTGGCTGGCCACCTTTTCCACCTCGACTCCATCAGGCATAACGTACGTCTTGCCGTCGTCGCGCCTCTCACACCACACCGTCCTCCCGCCATCACCCCCACTGCTGTAGGTGCGCACCTTGCTGCCGTCCCACGGACTGACGGGGACGAGATGCGCCTCGACGAACCTGAGCAGGTTATCCCTCGCCCTCTTCCTACCGCCCTCACCCTCGTACACGTCGACATTGTGGTGACCGTCGCTGCCGCCGCCGCCACCACCGCCACCACCGCCAGCAGCAGCAGCAGCGTAGTCACGCGGATCAACCCAAGGCTTATGAGGCATGCCGTCGATGGCAGAGTTGAGAGGGGCGAGGATGGTGGTGTTTGTCGACATGTCCGATAGGAGGGAGGATGTCGACTCGTGCAGACGGACGAGGGACGAGAAGCTCGTCAAGGCGCGGGACGTGCCTAGTATGTCGGAGAGGGCGACGGCCGGTTGGTGGTTTGGAGGGGGAGGGGAGGAGGGCATGCTTGCCAATAAGGGTCTCTGGATGGCGGATGCTTCTGCTGCTGCTGTGCAGGTTGACGATAGGAGGGTGAAGAAGAGGAGGGATCTCATATTTTGTTGTTATTGCTTTGTTTTTATTTTACTTCATTTTTTTTCTTGATGGTAGGAATGGCGGGTGGTTGTCTTGATGGTGAGTGGTGTGGTTGGTGGTGGTGACGAGGTGTGGTGGATGATTGAATCGAGTTACGTCACGGGAGGGGAAAGGTGTTTGCGGGTCACGTGCTGGACCCTGGTGCTATGTGTCTTTTTTATTTTTATTTTTATATGTATTTTTTGTATACTTTTATCCTTCATATTTTCTATTTCGACCAAGGAATTTCCTACAAATCACGACGGGATTTCCAATACGTCTACTACTAGTAGTACCCTGGAATCCTTCCCCACCGTCCCGGGGGCTTTCACATGCCAACCTGGTAACTGGTCAACCATCATTCTTGCATCATGGGGAGAGAACCGTGGTGGGCCCGTGGGATACCATGCTCCAACGAGCCACGATGTATTAATATTTGCCGCGGATGGTCTTGGGGAGGGCGGGTGCACTTGTTCTTGGCTGCTGAAAATCCGGGGATGGCGTTTCTTCTCCTTCTTCTTCTTCTACTCATTCTTCGTCTTAGCTCCTGATTGCCTACGTTTTGGGCGAATTGTGGATGGTGCTTTCACTTGGGTCTTGTGGGATAGCTCTCGTACAAGTTGGTGATTCTGATGTCGTTGTGAGGTCTGTACGGGTTGGGCCTGACCAAGATACTGCCGGCGTCCAGAAACTCCCTCTGCCCTCTTTGCTCTGCGTCCTTCGAAACACTTTTCCCGACCCGTACTCTCGTATATTTCGTACCTGACGTGCAGTGATAACAACCCCCGGTGTCTTTTCTTTCTTTTTCTTCTTCTTCTTCACATGTTTTTTACATGCAACCATCCGAGGACAGAACGTCCAATGAATCGTCCCGGAATCATGCTAACAAAGCATGCGGTTGTCGAGGGGGGTCAGGTGACTCTATAGACGCCAAGGGGTGGGCTGTTTCCCCCGCCCGAATCCCATTCACATGTCAAGGGTGGTGACGCAACCGGCCAACATGCTGAGCTTGCTCCGTACAAGTAGTAAGCAGGTCATGGCACGTTGAAGAGTTTTGCGCCTGGAATTGGAGTCGACATTGTCCCTCCCCGGACAATGCCCAGAAGCGGAGCGTACCTGTGTATTGGTTATATGCGTCCCCCGGGATGAGTTGACGATTCCGTCTTGCCTGGTCTGCCTTGCTTGATCGATCTAGTATTACGGAGTACATACCACGGAGTACATACCAGGGGGCCCTCGGTGCGCGGGGCAGCGCAGGGCGACGCACTACGGCGGTTCCTTCGTTGGAGTATCGATGTCAATGGATGTGGATGCATGCATACATGGGCATTTAGGGGTCACCAGACACTTTTTTTTTCGTTGACTGATTTCCTTCCGATGCTCGTATGATTCACCCTCCTCTCTCGCCATAATGAACATGATGATATTCAAGTGATACTGCATTGATACGCACAGTGATCTACCGAACTTGGCTTGCCTTCGCTGAGAATTGCCAGTGGGTCATCTCGGGGTGAATTAGCGCGCGACCGGACAACGGATGCAGCGCAGCAGGTACGATCGGGTCGGCTCCTTCCCAGAATCAATGGTAAAGGGTTGCCAAGTCCAAACAGATATTCCCACTATCTACTGCTGCTATCATCACCTGTAGTAAGAATAGAGAGAGAGATGGAGAAAACACGATGAGAGGAAGGCACTTGCTGGACGTAGTAGCATCGGTCATGGGATGGAATAATACAAGGTCATAGTCCATACAAACTAACGATGGTTGGGGCCGAACACATTACGGCACATGAGTAGTGGTGGGTGCCTCGGCTCTCCAGACTTGTATTAGCCCACCCCCAGGTTCAACCTGTCCCCATGTAGAACCAGCCCACTTCGCCCTCGGCCAACCAACTTCGACGCTTACTACCACTCTCTAGCTTGTCTTCCTCCAGTTCCCTTTAAACTCCTCCGTCAGCCTCGGACATCCTCTCTGACAACTCCTCCTCCCTCTTTTTCATTCTCCCTCCCCCTCATCCGCACACACATACTCTCTCTCTCACTCTCTCTCTCTCATACTCCCCTCTTCTCCTTTTCTGTTTTCCTTGTTCATTTTACTTGTCCCACCAACACAGGAAATCAAAAAGAAACAGGAACTATGGCACCCAGCGTCATTGTCGTCGGCGGCGGCCGTAAGTACCCCCAAATCATGCCATGGCGTCATGCATGCCGAGGCCCTCTAGACCTTGAGTCGGTTCCGCTCCTGGCAGACACTGCACACCTCTGAAATCCCAATACTCTGTTCTGGCGAAGCCATACTGATTGATTCATTTTGCTTTGCAGTATCGGGTCTGAGTGCGGCGCACACAATCTACCTCGCCGGTGGTAACGTCACCGTTCTCGATAAGCAGGGTAAGCTCTTCCATCCGCGTCATCGGTTGCGCCTTGCCCCGTGCTGCGTCTCTGACTGGTTTCTGACGAGGACCTCTCCCTAGGTTTCTTCGGCGGCAACTCCACAAAGGCCACGTCCGGAATTAACGGTGCCTTGACGCGCACCCAGGTCGACAATGGCGTGAAAGACAGTGTCAAGCAGTTCTACGACGACACCCTCAAGTCAGCCCGTGACAAGGCTCGTCCTGACCTGATCAAGGTCCTTACCTACAAGTCGGCTGCTGCCGTCGAGTGGCTGCAAGATGTCTTTGACCTCGACCTCACTCTCGTCTCACGTCTCGGGTATGATCTCCCCAAAACTCTTGCTCCTGCCCCTCTCCCCCCTAAATACGCTTTGACTGACGTCCCCCCCCCCCCCAATCCCCATTCATAGTGGCCACTCCCAGCCCCGAACCCACCGTGGTCACGATGCCAAGTTCCCCGGCATGGCCATCACATATGCTCTTATGCAGCGCCTCGAGGAGCTCGCCGAGACGGAGCCCGAGCGCGTCACCATTCTCAAGAAGGCCCGCGTGACCAGCCTGAACAAGGATGGAAACAAGATCACTGGCGTCACCTTCGAGCAGGGTGGCGAGACCCGCAGCGTCGACGGCCCCGTCGTCCTCGCCACTGGTGGTTACGCCGCCGACTTTGGCGAGGGCTCTCTGCTCAAGAAGCACCGTCCCGACACTTTCGGCCTCTCCAGCACCAACGGCACCCACGCCACCGGTGATGGCCAGAAGATGGTCATGGCCATTGGCGGCAACGGCATCGACATGGACAAGGTCCAGGTCCACCCCACAGGTCTCGTCGACCCGAAGGACCCCGGCTCTAAGTGGAAGTTCCTGGCTGCCGAGGCCCTCCGTGGCGAGGGAGGTCTTCTGCTCAACGCCGACGGTGACCGCTTCTGCGACGAGCTCGGCCACCGTGACTACGTCTCGGGCATGATGTGGAAGGAGAAGGAGAAGAACAAGTTCCCCATCCGCCTCATCCTCAACTCCAAGGCTTCCAAGGTCCTCGACTTCCACACCCGCCATTACTCGGGCCGTGGTCTGATGAAGAAGATGACGGGCGAGGAGCTCGCCAAGGAGATTGGTTGCACTCCCGAGCACCTCCAGGAGACCTTCTCCACCTACAACGACATTGCCGACGGCAAGAAGAAGGACCCCTGGAACAAGAAGTTCTTTCACAACGGCCCCATCAACATCGACGACGACTTCCACGTCTCCGTCATGGAGCCCGTCCTGCACTTCACCATGGGCGGTATCGAGATCAACGACAAGGCTCAGGTCCTGAACCGGGACCTCAAGCCCTTTGACGGCCTCTTCGCCTGTGGTGAGCTTGCCGGCGGTGTCCACGGTGCCAACCGTCTCGGTGGCTCCTCGCTGCTCGGCTGTGTCGTCTACGGCCGTGTTGCCGGCGACACCGCCAGCAGCTACCTCTTCCAGCAGGCCCTGAATGGCCAGGCCGCAGGTCTCCCTGGCGGTGCCGCCGCCCAGCGCCTCGGCCAGATCTCGCTGCATCTCGATCCCTCGACGCCCGGAAAGATCTCGATTGAGTGGAACAACAAGGCTAGCGGTTCCCGCGGCTCCGGCGAGGGCGGCGAGGGCGGCGAGGGCCCCTCGGGCGCTGGTGCTGCTGGTGCCGGCGGTGGCGCCTCCATCTCCGTCCCCTCGGATGGGTCCGGCAGTTCGGCCCAGGGCGCTGCTGCCGCTGCCACCGAGGCTGCCCCCGCCGCCAAGGCGAAGCCCAACCCCAAGGAGTTTACCGTGCCCGAGAAGGAGTACACCCTCGAGGAGGTTGCCGAGCACAACAAGAAGGAAGACCTGTGGGTCGTGGTCAAGGGCGTGGTCATGGACCTGAGCGACTGGCTCGACGAGCACCCCGGTGGCCCTCAGGCCATCATGAATTTTATGGGCCGCGACGCCACCGAGGAGTTTGAGATGCTCCACGACGACGAGGTTATCCCCAAGTACGCTCCTGGGCAGGTCATTGGCCGCATCAAGGGTCAGGAAGTCAGTCTCGAGTTTTGAGGGGAGATTGATGCACAGATGAGCGTGTGGAGAAAAAAAAATTACGAAACGAAAACCTACAACTCTTGTCATCTGAGGTGACTAAGATCTGAGATGAGGAATATGGGTCTTAGCTCGTGGGATCACGTTGACTATTGGGATATTTGTCGCTCGCGGTGCTGGGCGTTTCTTTTCATGTCTTCTTTTATACATATCTTGTAACGATAGCTCTTTTATATCTCTGTTTGGTCACTATGCATTTGAAACGTGACCAAACAAACTCCCCCTCCCAGCTCTTCTTTCTCGGCGATTGTTCATCTGACAAGGAGCGATGCCGTCATCCGGTGGATGGATGAATACTTGCTTCTTCTAGTTCAGGTTTGCTATCAATGACTCCGTCCACCAAGCAGTGCAACATGCACCTGTCCCGTATGCATGCAATCAATGATATATCGCATGTTTGTAGATGGGGGCAAATGGCGATTGAATGCAGAACACAGCGTGCATTCACGGTTCGGCCTTTCTATGTATGGTCTGAGCGGCACTTTCTGAACAGAAGGTGAGTCGCTTCTCTCTGTGAACAGATTTTAAAACCTCTCTCTACCTCTTCCCTCTTGATTCATTTCTCCGTCCTGTTTTCCCTGCGTCTCTTTCCAAGATACATCCAAACCTCACTCCTTTTTCCCCCCCCTTTCTGCACGCTCCTCTTCCCCTCATTCATCCAACTCTCACGTCCCATTTCACTCACCAACTGCCTCTGCTTTTCAGATAACGACGAGGAGAGCCTCAAGGTCGAAAAGTATTACTACCCAAACCCGCATCCTCAGAGGTTATCCATGCTGACTTCGCGGTCCTTGACTACAAGATGGCTTCTGATGGCGGAGGGAGCCTGATCTCCAAGAGCCACCGAGATGTCCTCGACATCGTTGATTCCCTTCGCTCCAGCGGGGTCGGTCAGTACATTGAGCTTCCACAGATTATCGTCTGCGGGGACCAATCTGCCGGAAAGAGCTCCGTTCTCGAGGCCATCTCCGGCTTGAGCTTCCCGACAAAGGATGCTCTCTGCACCCGGTTTGCTACCGAGCTCATCCTACGACGTAGCAAAGAGGGCACGAGCCATGTCAAGTTCTCCATCATACCTGGACCCGGCAGAGACGAGGTAGCCGAAGAGAAGCTCCGAGATTTCCAGTATGCCACGAGCGACGAAACCGAAACAAATCTGGGGCACGTCGTCGACGCTGCTGCGGTTCAGATGGCTGCTCTGGACGGCCCCGACGCCGTCTTCTTCAAGGACATCTTGCGCGTTGAGATGTCTTCCCCCCAGCAGCCGCACCTCACACTCGTGGACCTCCCGGGTCTCTTCCTCGCAGGTAGCAAGGACCAGTCTATTGAGGATGCTCAACTTGTCGAGTCCCTGGTCATGTCGTACATGAAGCAGCCACGGAGCATCATTCTGGCTGTCGTCTCGGCCAAGAGCGAGTTCAATCTGCAGCAGGTCACGGAGTTGACGAGGCAGGTCGACCCGGAGGGCACCCGAACGCTCGGTCTCATCACCAAGCCCGATACCCTTGACGGTGGGTCAGAGGGCGAGCAGGCTTACTTCAACATGGCTCAGAACAAGGACGTCAAGTTCCGTCTGGGCTGGCATGTCATAAAGAACCGCGACTTCAAGATGCGCAACTGCACCAGAGAAGAGCGCGATGCATCGGAGAAAGCCTTCTTCTCCACCGGCATCTGGCAAAACTTGAGCCCGACGCATTTGGGCATCAGCGCTTTGGTGAGCAGGCTCAGTAAGGTCCTCCACGATCACAACCTTGCCCAACTGCCTCGGGTCATGGACGATATCCAGTCGGGAATCGATGACTGCAGGACGGGTCTCGAAAGACTTGGCGAGTCCCGAGGCACGCTCACAGAACAGAGACGCTACCTGCTCCGCGTCGCCCACACCTTCACCTCGCTAGTCTCGGCGGCGGTCGATGGCGCCTACACGGACCAGTCTTTCTTTGGAGACGTCTCTTCCGATGCCGGTTATGCACGACGTCTCCGTGCTCGCGTCCAGAATGCGCTCATCGATTTCTCTGACCATATACACTGCCATGGCCACAGCGACATCATTGTCGACGACGACAGCCGTGGCTCTACCGAAGAAGGAATGGAGCCAGAGGCAAGCAGAGACCAGAAAATAATCACCCGTTCAGAGATGGTCCGACTTGTCAAGAAGATGATGTCTAGGAGCCGAGGACGAGAACTCCCTGGAACATTCAACCCGCTTCTCGTCGGTCCGCTATTCTCATCCCAGTGTCGGCCGTGGGCCAGGCTCTCCGAAACACTCGTAGACGAAGTCATCTCAGACGCCAACGACATGCTTGTTGAAGCTATGCGGTTCAGCACCGACGACGACACGGCGGAGAATATCATCCGGGGGATCGTGACTCCAGATTTCAAGAAGATCTCGAGCAACGTCAAGGAGACGCTGTACAGCATCTCCAGGTCTCATATGCATGGGCACCCGATCACGTACAATCATTACCTGACGGACACCGTCCAAGACGCACAGAAGTCTCGCCTGGAAAGGAACCTCAAGGAGGCGCTTTCCGAATACTATCCTTCCATGACCGATGCCAAGGGACATCGTCCAGGCAACGCCTTCAACACGATGAATCCAGCTGCGCTATTGAGTGGTCTGGTGGCAGCCGTGGAGCAGGATATGGAGACCTTTGCTGCCGCTGCCCTCGTCGATACGATGCAGGCATACTACAAGGTACGTCCCACCCCCTAGGCACGCATCCGTGCTCGGCGAGACAGCTAGAGAGGATCTAAGCATAGACTGGCACAGGTCTCTCTGAAGAGGTTCATCGACGACATCGGCGTCCTCGTCATCGAGGAGCACCTCATGAACAAGCTCCCGGAAGTCTTCTCCCCTGACGTCGTATGTCTCCTGGGAGATGACCGGATCGCCTATCTTGCCGGCGAGAGTGACGAGACGATGGAGCAGAGGAAGAGGTTGACTGAAAAGCTTAGCGTTCTGCAGAAATGCCGGGATCAGCTCAACAATGCTCTCAACAGAGGCTTTTCGTCTAGCATATCTTGACGGATGCATGAGCGGGTAGAGGTGTACGCAAGCCAAGGTGTGGTTGCTGAGGTTTTGAACGTCCTGGCATATTACTTTCTGCTATCCGCCCTCTCCCTCGGATTTTTCGCTACATCACCTTCAGTCTCCTTTCCCTAGCCACGGAGTCTGGATCTGAGAGCAGATCGTTCAACGGCAAGGTCAGATTCCCCTCACCGGCTTTTGCTCCTGTGCATTTTTCGCTCTCTCCTAGCTTTTCCCTAGCCTCCACAGCTACTCTTCGGAAGTTGAATTTTCTCTCTCATGTTCCCATCTGCCAGCGTCAGCATATACTACCTACCTCGTGATGGTTCCAAAGGTAGGATAGAGGGGGTTGTCTGAATTTTTGGGATCGAGGGTAAGGGAAGACCTCTTTACGTAGTCGTGTGTGGGTTGGTCTATATTAGAGCTTTCCGCTGAAGAGGGAAGTCGGGGAAAGTCTGTCTAGTCTTCGTCTTCTCGTGCATCGTCTCCAGTGACGGTACGTCTCTTCCCCCTCTTGCTCGTGAGAGAACTGGCCTTGTTCAAGATCCGATTCGGATATCAACGTAACAGGTGGGTGTCCCCGCCATGTGACTCCTTGACCAAGAAGCTGCCACTCTGTCATGTATTTCCCCTTTTTGGTGCAAGACTAGTTATATGAGAAGGTTGACTTGGGTCGTACTATCCTTTCCTCGCAAATTGGTCGTCCAAGAGGATGGACAGTCCCCCCCCCAAAAAAAAAAAAAAAAAAAACAAAGAAACAAAGCAAGAAAGAGATGAACCTGGAGACTTGTGCCTTTTTTTAGTTCTCGATTCATCATCNGTGGGTGTCCCCGCCATGTGACTCCTTGACCAAGAAGCTGCCACTCTGTCATGTATTTCCCCTTTTTGGTGCAAGACTAGTTATATGAGAAGGTTCATTTGGGTGGAACTATGTTACCATGTCAGATGAGTAATGCTAGAGGATGGACAGTCCCCACCCCAAAAAAAAAAAAAAAAAAAACAAAGAAACAAAGCAAGAAAGAGATGAACCTGGAGACTTGTGCCTTTTTTTAGTTCTCGATTCATCATCCATATGATATTTTCCACCTGAGATTCAGCCACTCATCATTATCATTCCTGGGTTTTTTTCTTCTTGTTTTCTTCTTCTTCTTTTTTCTTTGCAGATCAATCATCCCATCGTCTATCCTCACCACCATCGTCTACCGTCCATATGGAGGAGCTCAAAATATGGCTGGCGCTCCTCCCCATCGGAGTGCTCACCTTCCTCGATCTCCTGATTTGCCTGATGGCCTGCCGCAGACGCTGGAGAGCATACCGAACACGGGAAGAGCATATCCGTCTTGCTTACCTGGTCTGACGCGTCCGGCGGATGATTCTTGGGTGGAAGGTTTCGAAAAAGGGGTATCAACCTGAAGAAGTATACTGCCTGGTACCAGGTCCTGAAAGAAAAGGATGCCTGGTTTCAGCAAGTCGTCGCCGCCACATACACGCCATCCAGGACTCCAGCCAGAGAAACATCCGGTCAACTTGGATGCGATGACCGGTAATACCATCTCGGCCTCACATGGCGAAAGTCCGTCGGGATAGAAAGACGTCTCCAATCTATCTACAAGCCCTTCCAGAACCACGGTACAGGCACCTCAAGCTTTCGACACACTCGGGCCCGAAGCTACACGACATATGCATCTACACTTTGCCCACGGCGAGCGAGACCGAAGTCTAGTTTGGAACAGTACTGCCGAGGGAGGATGGTACGTGTGCTCGTGGGAGACGATTGGCGGCGGTACGATATCACGAGGCTGCACATGATGGGCGATATCATTTCTTTCCGGGGACCAGCGACTACATGACCCGGGACGAGTATATGGACATGTTGGGCAGTCCAACGAGGACGGCGAAGCGACACCACGGCACACCTCGTCTTGTGCATATATAAGCGAAAGTACCATTTTAGGATTGTAGCGTTGCAGAGAAAAGAAGAAAAATGTTACCCGGCAAGACTCGGGGGGCAGTTTCTCACACACGGTAGAGAGCCGATTATGTCTTCCTGTCCCACGTTCTGTGATGGCGAGAACCAGGACAGTAAACGATTCCAATCTCGACTTCCGAAATTTCCTTCCTCATGCAGTATCCTGAGCTGATGCCACCTTAACCTGAGCAGTCCCTGAGCTTGGAGAGCTTCGATCTGAACTATCGGATCAAACAGCTGAATAAGCCACCGGAAGAAGTTATTCCGGTCCGATTAGAGCTTTCCCCTGATATAACAGAACGTCTATACAGTCACTATTTCCCTTTCCCGTATATATATATATATATATATATATAACAAGACACCTCAAGAAGGTCAGAAAAAGGGCCTGATTTAAAGCCTTTTTTTTCTTGATCCCATCAGTGAATCGATATCCGGAACAAGTCTCCTGCCGATTCGGAACCTCAAACGAGCCTTTTACCGACATAATTCTACCAACAAGTCCAACATGAACACCAATCACCTGACCATGTCTAAGCGCTCACGAGTCGTGCTGGAAGAACGATGGCCGTTCCCTGGGTCTATTCCTCGAAAACATGTTGATCTTCCACGCGACGAAGAAGAGAATCACCGTAGCAGACGAGAGGAAATACGTGGATCGCATGATGGGTTTTGCATGATAGGCTGCAATACGAGGACTCGGCGGTCCAAGGTGATGCTGTGGCGTAGCGAGGCCGGTCATTGTGGCGCACTTGGAGAATACTTCTCTGATCTCAGGGGCAGACTCTGTCTCCAGGTGACGTAGCCTTGAAAGTAATATTGCCGGCAGGATTGTACCAACTTTGTACTAGCGGAGTGACGTTCTGCTGGCAGGGAAAGAAGAATTGAAAAGTAAAAAAAAGAAAACAACAGCAACTTGAATTGATACAATTCGAGTACAAGAAGAATCCCCAAACTTGGAGTAGCGTCTGCCATTTCCGCCGGCAGAGAATATCATCTTGATTGGTTACTCTTCTACCGGTCTAGGTTGTGCCTACGGAAGGTCTCCTGCCACTACGTCTAGAAGCCATTGTTACAGAATCCGAGTGCGTCTGGCACTTCTTCCTACAGTAGATGTGGATATTAGTCATGATGTATGCAGACAGGGACATGGCATAGGTACCTGTGCAGCAATTCTCCTCCATACCTGGTACAAGAATGGCCGTGGGTCTGGGAGCCGACAAGTACCTGTACCATACTCGTAGATGTGCCATCACAAAGGATGCCACAGACGTACATTATCATGTAGAATACGCGCGCATCGGTTATTGCTATCTGTGTCACCTCCTTCATACAACGGACTTCTAATTCCCTAACGAGTGTCAAGTGCCGGCAAAGGACAAAGGACAGTCAGGGAGGTGTCAAGCCACTAAGTCATATCAAGCCACATCAAGCCATGAAGCCATCAAGCCACATCCAAGAAAGGATATCAGGAGATCATCGAGAAAGATTCAGTCAAGGTTCAAGGAAGCATATAAAGATTATCACAGTCCGTTTCAAGGCATCGTAGATGAGATTCTAGAACCAGTATAGAGAGGTAGCTGAGAAGCTACTGGGAAGAAAGAAGACGGAGACGAATGATTATCAAGCTGACCCCAAAAGTTGACCCCTAGTTGTTTCTTTCCTGTCTCTTGACTGCAAGACTTTCATCACTTACTCTGTGGTTTCTTTCATGTCTCTGACACATCTCCACTCTTTAGGTCACCACACACACATACCGGCAGACCACAAGGCATACAAAAGAGAATACGACCTCTTCTTGTGTGACAGCTCTGCTTTCCCGCTGATAGGACCACGGAAGAGCATAGCAGATCCGTACATGCAGACTACCAAACCACAAAAAAAAAAAAAAAACGGAGGTATCCCCTATGCAGGTAGGTAGTACTTTTGATCACAGGCACTATCACAGGTTGACCTTTCAGCAGACAAGTGCAGACCCTAGCCCAAGGAAGTCTAGAATCGTCCCCCACGTGGGTTATCCAAGACATATTATTGAGCATATGGGTTTCCGTTCCCTTCCTGCCATGCTCCTCTATCCCGCTCTATCATCAAAGAGAATAAAGGACTGATGGATGGAAAGTATCATACTAGTCATCCTGGAGGGTTATATGATCACGACTACACTCCTTGGTGAACCTCACCCTACAGCACATCAGCATCGTCACCAAGGCCCAATAAGGAAACCCGACACATCGTCGAGACTACGGAAACCCACATTCTCATCCATGCTAGCCATCTACATTCCGAGGACAGTACGAGCACTGCGATACTGGCACCCGTTCAGTTGAAAAGCGACGTAGAGGCAGGTGGAGGGAGAGTAGCATGGCGTGAGCCAAGACTTCAAGTGCTAGGATGCACGGAAGTTTCCAACAGACTGGGCCTTGAGAAGGAAGAGGAAAGAAAAAAATAATAATATGCAGTGGTTACTACATTACACGTGACAGTGGTGATGACAGCGGCCTCATCTGAAGCATGGTGCCATGTACGGAACATTCCATTGAAGAGTCTCCAGGAAGAGCAAGCTTCTTGGAACCCGCTTCTCTCGCTAGGCAGCCTAGGAGAGATGGGTTCCCGAGTGGATAGGCCGATGGGATAGCGACTGCCGACGGTGAGGTGTTTTCACTCTATCCGTAATACGAGTATTATTCCGTATCCACTGGACAGGGTTGGGACCCCTCTCTCAACTTTCTCCATGTATCAGGCACTATTGTTGTTATGATATATTCATGCCAATGGTCGTCGTGCGCTTCGGAAACGGAGAGGGGAAGGCAACTAGGAACACGACAGGCAACTCGATGCACCACGCCAAATACACACACATGCAGATACATGTATAAGTCAGCAACACTAGGGGAGGCGACATGCAATCGATATTGCAGATGGTCAACGTATGATCGTCCCCGTGTATAAGGATGGAAACAAGTTTTCAACACAGCAGCTTCTCCTCAGCTCCCTACCTGTATTACTCTGTGGGTCTACGAACGTCACTTGGTCCGTCTGCCCGGGGCAGCGAGGCCCATCAGGACCTAGCTGCGATCATTTCTCCAGAGCGTTAGCCTAGGAGGCCCCCCCCCCCCCGTCCTTGACCGTCTAATCAGAGGGAGTCCTCAATATTAAGTCCCGGTTTTCATCTTTCTTTTAGGTTTAGGTGCCTGGAGCTAGTGTATAGGGTTAAAATGCATAGCCATCGAGCTCATCTTATCAATCGGCTCACCGCGGGGGGGGGGGGGGCAGAAGAAGAAAATTGTCAAGTATAAAGGACAGGATGGGGAAAGGGGTGGGAGGAAGAGGAGAGGAGCCCGCCTTCTCGACCCTCTCTCATTCATCTGCTTGACATCTCTCTCCTCTCCCTGCCCCTACCAGCTCACTCTGCAAGTGTTGGAACCGAGATGAAGAACACCACCTTTACTGCCGGCTCGGCGCTGCTTGCGCTGGCTGGCACCGGCTGTGCTCGCAATGCCTCGTACGACTACATCGTGGCCGGCGGCGGCACGGCGGGCATCGTGGCGGCGGAGCGTCTGGCCACGTCCGGACGCAGCGTGCTGCTCATCGAGCGCGGCGGCCCGGCCCTGTACACGTCCGGCAACCGCGACAGCGTGGCCTGGAACGACACCGTCACGCTGTACGACGTGCCCGGGCTGGTGGACTACATGAGCCTGGACCCGGACCTCAAGTACTGCAAGGACGTGGCCATCGCGGCGGGGTGCGCCGTCGGGGGCAGCACGATGCTCAACGCCATGATGTTCGTCAAGCCTCGGGCGGCCGACTTCGAGTCGTGGCCCGAGGAGTGGCACTGGGCCAACGGCGTGGCCGAGGCGGCCGAGGAGCTGTACGAGCGCGAGCCGGGCACGACGCTGGCGTCCAGGGACGGCAAGCGCTACGACGACGCCGCCTTCGAGATCGTCTCCCGCTTCCTCGCCGCCAACGGCTACAGCGAGACCGACGCCCTCCGGAACCCGGAGGACAAGGAGCTCATATACACGCACCCGCCCTGGGCCATAGCCAACGGCCTGCGCGACAGCCCGGCGCGGTCCATCCTGCCGGACGCGCAGGCGCTGCCCAACTTCAAGCTCGAGGTCGACACCAAGGTCATCCGGGCGGTCCGCAGCGGCGGCAGGGTGACGGGCGTCGAGGTCGAGCTCGCCACCGGCCGTCGCGAGACCATCAAGCTGAACCGCGGGGGCAGCCTCGTCCTCGCGGCCGGCAGCCACTCGACGCCCCGGATCCTGTTCAACTCGGGCATCGGGCCGGCCGAGCAGATCCAGACGGTCCGGACGGGCAGCGTCAACGTGACGCTGCCGCCCCGCGAGCAGTGGATCGACCTCCCCGTCGGCGAGAACCTGCAGGACCACGCGATAGCGAGCGTGAGCTTCAACACGACGGTGCCCCTCATCACCCTCCCGTCGACGGCCTGGACGGACCCGAGCCAGAGGTCGGTCGACCTGTTCGCCCACAGCAGCGGCCTGCTGGCCCAGTCGGCCCAGCGGCTGACCTTCTGGACCAGCGTCGACGGCTCCGACGGCGTGAGGCGCCACGTCCAGGGCACCGTCCGCGCCGACGCCAACAACACCATCGGCATCAAGGTCTACCTCACCCACGGCACCACCTCGACCGGCACGCTGGCCATCAGGCCCGACGGCAGCACGTACATGCCCAAGCGGCCGCTGCTCAACACCCCGGCCGACGTCGAGGCCCTCACGTCGTACGTCGACTCGCTGCTGGCCATGGCCCGCCGGCCGGGCAGCCTCCTCCGGCCGGTCGACAACTCGACCGCTGCCGAGCTCGTCGCCGCTGCCAGGAGTGGTAGCCACTACCTCGGCACCACACGCATGGGCGTCGCCAACGACGGCTCCAGCGTCGTCGACCCGGACACACGCGTCTGGGGCACGGACAACCTCTTCGTGGTCGACGGCAGCATGCACCCCCACGTGCCTACCGGCAACACGGCTACGCCCATCATGGTGGCCGCCAACTATGCCGCCAAGAGGATTCTGCAGCTGCACCGGAGCGCTTGAGAAGCTGCCACCCACCCTCCTGGATGCGAGGGAGTTGTCGGGGAGGTGTGCATGTATCTACCGTCTCAGACTCTCAGTCTTGACATGACGGCTGTCAGTATATAGCAATACACGTCGGATTCTGTGCCTGGTGTATCGTCACTCTACTCCTATGACGAGCCTGCGTAGTGCGTAGATGCCGTGATGCTGCTCTCGGTCTGTATCAAGGTAAAGAGGATGGTCACTCCGCGATGGTCGTGTATGCACACCTCTTCACTATGCACGTGCATCCCCTCCATCTGTCCGTACGACCACACCGAGGCAGAGGTGTGTAGGGACGTGACGAGATTGGAGGCTAGCGGATGGCTGCTGGGATCGCGATCGTTGCCGGCATAGCTGATGCTCCCGTTTCGGCTCCCCCACCACTGCTACCCGTAATCATGCCATACGTCTCGGGATGGGCAACTCGGTGTCGGGGCCATTGGAAGAATCCTACTGAGCTGAGGCCATCGGGACGGAAGAGGTCAAATAAGTAACCGCCTTCCTCGTTCGACGAGGAAGGGGGGTCAAAGATCAATACGTCATCATCCCCCACCGTGCCCTTCGTATCCGCTACTTCGCTACGACTACGCCGTCGCTTTGCAGACCTTGCCACCCACCTCACCACTCTCCTCTCCCAAGCAGACTCGTCGTCTGACAGCACGATATAATATATAACCGCACGGAGGATCTATACTCGTACGGTACACCGACTTGACAACGGGATATCGCTGCTTGAGAGTCTTGTTTCGAATGCGCATGCACTGCGCATGAGTGCGGGGGAAAAGGAGACAAGATGGATCATGCCGCCCTGACTTGAGGATGTAGAGAGAGAGATGCTGTCGCGTGTTACGACGAGTACGACGTAGTAGCCCCATAGCTGTATGTAGAGAGATCCTGTAGAGAGTAGAGATTAGAATTGGCTCGGTGGGACGGCATACTACTGATCATTACCATCAGCAGCATCATTCCCCCTGCAACGTGTATCGTTGGCCGTACGGGTAGCAGAACGGGAAAAAAATGATACTGATACTAGTGAAGGATGGGGACATGGAAAGTGACAGTGTAGAGTGTAGAATGAGATTTCCGTCGGAACATGGACCCGAGGCTACATGTACGGAAGTAACTACTCCCGTACTATCAATGCTACCATCATCGTCCATCACTACCACAACTATCACTACCACTATCACTGCTACTGCTACTGCCACTGCTACTGCCACTGCCACTGCTGCGCCACTGCTCAGAGTAGGAGAGGAGTGAGGCAGGTGACAAGGCCGGCTGAGTGGCAGCAGAGTAGCGGAGAGAGTACGCAGTAATAGTCGTAGTGATGAGAGAGTACTGATAGCCAGGGGTTATTGATAATCTGTATACTGCTCCGAGATATCCCATGTCGATCGTTGCCCTCTTTTCTTTCCTCGATAGAATTGAGGAAAGATGGTTGATACTCTCACATGGCTATATAATTCCTCTGCCCCACCTCATAGCAGGAATCCCCTACGAAATGATTCCTGACTCCTGACAAGTCTACTGCGATAGTAGGTAATGCATACTACCACACAAGTGGGTTCATTGTAGGTGCAGCCTGTACGGGACGGAGGGTAGAGATGGTCAGCATGGGTTTGCGATACGAGTCGAGCTATACCCAAGGATGGGGTTGGTAGTAGTGGTGGCCGTGGTGGCAGCAGTGGCAGTAGTGGTGGGTAGTGGTGGTGGCAGTAGTGGTGGTAGTGGTGGTAGTGATGATACTTCCAAAGGATCGATACTCGGGAGTGCGTGTCGAGGCAAGTCGTAGCACCGAGATGACCCGAATCTACGGAGTAATGATACGCTGCACTCGTGCTCGGACGCATGCTGTATTGCCATCTCCCGTGCCTGTCGTGATTGCAGAGTCGTAGTATCGAAAGTGGCTGGCGGTTTCGTAGCAACCCAGCATCTTGCCCTACTCTGTAGCATGTACAGATTACGAGGAGTAGTGAGAGAAGCTGAGGAGATGGCCACGGGACTGTGCAATAGTACGAGAGTCTGCCGGGTATTCGCACATGTCTACCTAGTAATATCATCTACTATGACGACTAAATACTCCCTCACTCCGTAGCAGAAGTATTGATGGTGATACCCCGTGATGTTGGAACGGTCAAGAGGAGACCTACCTACTACCCCAGGTACCCCAGGTACCCCAGGTCAGTTTCGGGCAGGTAGTAATATCACAGTACATGTACCCCGTACACACGATAATGACAGGTATTATTATTCTTATGCGCACGCACACACGCACGCACACACGCACACACACAGACTGCAAGGGATAAAATCATTACAGAGTAGTCGTCGTACCGGGTGCAGTACATTGATAAAGTGACTTTTTCTGTTTCTTTTTTTTTCTTTTGACGAAAAAAGAAGGAAGGAAGAAAAGCTGCTACCCCTGTCAAACGACCAAGAAATTCATCCATCTTTACAGTGGCCGCCACCCCCCCAAGTCCGGGGAAAATGGGAGCGAGACAGTGACAGCCACAAGCATCCCAAGATTTTCCAAAGGAGGATTAGCTCCAAGGGCCGAACTCTTGGGTTACCAAACGGACCAATGACGATCAATTACACACGTAGCTTTGGTTCGATGACACCGCCCCACTTCTCTCTCTTTCTCTCTCTCTCTCTCTTCAACTCTTCAGTCTTTCCGCGATCCTCCTCCTCTTTCCCTCTTTTTTTTCTTCTTCCGCTTTCCTTCTTTCCTTCTTTTGCTTCCCCACCCCCTTCCCTTTCTTCTCTCTTACATGTAATACTGCTCCGGATTCCCTTGTCGATGCTGCTCGCATCGCGCCGGTCAGATCTCGCCCTTGCCATCCCGTAGGAATACTCGACATCTCATCTTCTCTTTTCCACAATGTTATTGATATGCTTTGTCTCACTGCGTATCCTTGCTCTCATAGATGATGCCGAGGCCTACGACTGCATGGACGCGCCTGTAAAGGTCGTGGCTGGGGCCTGGGCCTTGTATTACCCCCCCCCCCCCCCCCCCCCCCCCCCCCCCCCCCCGGGGGGAACCACTGAAGCGCCTCTATATTCACAAATTTCCATGGATCGCTACGGTGTACAGATTATACGAGTGAGAATCCTCTGCCGTATTCGTC